GGCAAGGGCGCGTGCAGGATGCAGGCGCGGGGCCGGCCGGCGAAGCGTGGGCGTGCCTTTGACGCTGGGCCCCAAACCTGCCAAGAATGCGCCAGCGCCGCCGCTGCAATCCCCATTTTGCGCCTTCCAGGAGGTGGAGCAGTACATCGAGCCGCGCTTCCCCACCCCATGGCCCGCCAGCCAGGCAAGCGGGGCGCTCCCCCCACTCCTCGACCCGTCCAGCCGCTCCTGCGCCGCGCCGCTGTCTGGCCGCGCGCAGCCGAAGGGCGCCGGGGCTGTGACCACGCAACCTTGGCGGCTGCGCTCGATGCTAAGGATTGGGCTTGACACCGCGCGCGGCATAAGCTGTAAACCATCGACACCACCAGGGGCCGCCGCCTGCCTCTGGCGCCCCGGTCGCCCGTGCAACACCCCCATCCCCTCCACCCCACTCCCGCAGGGGCCCATATTGCAGGCGGCCTACGTGACGGGCTGCGCGGACTGGTTCAAGCGCCGCGGCTTCCTCTTCATAGACGAGCCGCTCTGCGAGGAAGCTGTGAAGCAGCTGGAGCCCCCGCAGCCGGCCTGCAGCTGCGGGGCGTGCGTCGAGGGCGTGCTCTCCACGCGCATGCTGCGGAAGCTGTGGTCGCAGGCGGGCACGTGGGTGACGGCGGCACGCTCCGCGCGCGCGAACCGCCCCGCGCCGCTCTCCGCGCGACGGCCTCTCCGCCTTGGCCTCCCGTTGATTGAGTCCCGGCCTGACTGTGGTCCGCAGCCTCAACCCATGCATCCCTGGCGCGTGCGAGCTTTGCTCGTCATCCCACAGCACTGCAAGGTCTGCAGCCATCCGGCACAGCCCGCCGCAGCATTCCGAACTCAGGTCGCCTGTCCCTCGCACGCGCCTAACCGCCCCTCACGCTCACTCCACGCCGCCCCGCCGCCCGCCGGCCGCCCCAAACCCTGCAGGTTTGCATACGAAATTGGCGAGGACCTTTGGCGGACTACCCAGCCCCCTGGCACCCCGCACGGCGAGCTGGTGATCGATGAGGAGTTTGAATGGGGCCCCAACAGCCTCAACGAAGCGCTGCCACGCGCGGCAGGCGGCGGGGCCGCGTCGCGCTGGCGTACATACACGGCATGGCGCAGGCGGCGGGCGAGTTCGCGCAGCTGCTGAAGGGGCAGCTGGCACTGCCGCCTGGCGAGCGGCGGGTGCGGTGGGCGCGGGCTGCCAGGGGAAACGAGGGGCGCGGCGTGTAGGGGTAGCGACACAAGGTGTCCTGGCTGGTGGCATGCATGGCCCTTGACAGCCCAACGTTACCTGGGTGTTTAGCAAAGGGAGGGCACCCACGCACGCAATGCAACGACACCGCACGCCCCTGCACATCAACACGCACGCCCCCCTACACGAACTCAACGCACCACCGCCATCCGCCATCTCTGCATGGCACGCATCCCCTTGCCCCGGCCGAATCTCCACGTTCGCTTCTGTATCGCGCCCCTGCAGGCGTCCGCGCTGCGCCCTGATGCCGTCATGGCCGCACTGACCGCCTCCGACGGTAGCGAGTATGCGTATGGCCTCGGCGGCGCCGACACCCGCCGGGCGTACCTGGCTGCAGGCCCCAAGCTCGCGCTGCTGATGGGCGCACTGATAGACACCACGAATCACCTGGATCAGGACGGCAACTACGATTTCTCGGATGAGGATGAGGATGAGGATGAGGATGAGGAGGATGACGGGCGGCCCCGCGGCAGGGGGCCCGCGTGCGCCATTGACAGCAACTTTGACGGCGTTAGGCGGCTCCTGCTTGGGCCGGGGTTCCCGCGGGCGCTGCATGGTGAGGGGCCGCGCCGCCGCCGCCGCCAACGCCGCGCGCCGCCGTGTGCAGCCGCGTACATTGCCGGGGCGCACAGGGGAGGAGGGAGAGGGCGGGCCGATGCTGACACAACAAGTGGCTGTAGAGCCGCAGTGATGCCTGGCTGGGCGAGGCTGCGCCGCCCGGTGGCCCCCGCGCCGGGCACCTGCCCGGTGTGCCCCC